CGGAGAGTTCGTTTTATGTCCTCGTCAAGTGGTAGCAAAGGTGACGGGTTACTCCGGGTCATGCACGACCTACACACAATCGGAAAACACACCAAGTCTAGGACAAGCAAAGCACACACACTAGCAAAACTGGAAATTAAAAGCTAGATTAAAACCCAACAACTTTTTCAAGATAACAGAGTGAAGTCACCGGCAACGGCGCCAAAAAATTGACTCGCACGAAACTACACCACAATATAATTTTGACTAGAGTCCAAGTTTTTAAACTCTAGTCGGGTGCAGTATAGAGCAAATATTTAGATATCAACTCGGGTCGGTCCGTCTACCCCTACTTCAGTTGTTTTAATCATTATCTAGCAACAAAGTTTTGGTTTAAGAGTTTGCTAATTATAATAAAATAAGGCAAAGGTAAATGGTTTTGAAAACTCTTTTGTGGAAAGATCACTCGGGTGTCCCTTCCCACTAACAACTACCATGATATGTGAATTAGAACGATTTCTTTGGGCAACGTAACCGCGAACCGAAGAGGGATGCATATATGGTCGGAGACCATAATGTCAATTGCTAAACTGAGGTAAGCATTATAGGCCGTGTCACTCGACCCTCTCGGTTTAGGCAATTGGTAGTTGACTTACTCCCTCACTCAACTCAAAGGTCGGACGACTTAATCGCGATTAACCGATTTGCTTAATTCATCATTGAGGGTTGCCCTAAATTAACTAGTTAGGTGGCTTAAGAAGCTGAAAGAAAACCAACTAGATTGAGTCTCCCTTGTAAGGGGGATTTGCCTCTCTAAGCTAGGTTAAGGTGGATAATTAGATTTCTAGCACCAACATGCACAAACCTACGGTGCTAAGCAATATTATGCACAATCCTTAGGTTGCTAAGCACCAAAATGCACAATCCTAAGGATGTTAAGCACAAAACATGCACAACCCTTAGGTTTCTAAGCACAGGCATGTACAATCAACATGAATAATACCTCAATCATTGAATTAACCAATACCCAATGACAATCATTCAATTCACATAAAAGAAACTACATGGTAGAGTTAGGGTTTCACAACACCCAAGTGAAAGGAGATCTACTCCATGCTAGAAATGGGGAAAACACAAGGAGAAGAGGTGGAAACCATCTTGGAGGATGTTCCCAATCTTCTTGGCCCGTTTTTTGAACTTTCCGTGGAGGAAATCTTCCGAAAATCCACCTTGAAGCAAAACCCTAGCCTTCTTCTCCTTTGGTCCGTGTTTCTCTCTCTAGAAATCTGAAGAAGGCTTTTCACACAAAATGGGCTCCCCCTTCTCTCCTCCTCTCATCTCATCTTTTAAACCAGAGACGAGCTCAGCTCACAGACTGAGTTCACGGCCGTGAACCATGAAACGCGTCTGTGAACTGCAGCGTGCGCCAAAACATACCGCTTCGTTCACTTTTGTTCACGGTCAACAGCCTCCGTTCACGTTCTTAGTGACCGTGAACTCACCTTGCGTCAGTGTCCTCTTTTTGGCTCTGGATGCCTCGAGATCTGCATTCAAGGGCTCTTCTTCACGGTCATGCAAGATCGTGAACTTCTTGGGATAGCCGTGAACTGGATCTTTTTCACCTCTTCTCCCTGTTGTCGATCCTTTTCGTCCAATTTTAAACTCTGAGGCTGGTTTCACTTGTTAAACCCTTAAACACTCTAAAACACGAGATACCTAGCTTAAAACCAACCTTTTAGGAGTGAATTTTCCACAAAACCTAAGTAAAACGGGGGCAAAACAGGTACAATTAGGCCCGAATCACATATTTTAAATGTAGATAGCTAGCATGGTTCTTCTGTTTCAAGAAGATTTTTACTTTATACCAACCTAGTACGTTTAACATTTTGTGCTTTTTTTACTGGTAAACAGAGAACTTTCATTAATCAGTGGCAGAGACTACATTGTCCAACTTTAATTGATCAAGTAAAATGATCTGGGGCCTATCAACCCATACAGAAGCTTCATTTCAAATAGTTTCCACGTGTGCCTTAGTGTGAGCAGCAACATTAGCTTCTCTTGAAGTGTACTGCCATTATGCTTCACCCAAGTCTCTAAGCAAACGAAGAATATTTCTACATACTACACCTTTCTTTGTTCTAATCGAATAAGCCTTAAGCATGTTTGTCACGAGGTTCAGGCAGTCACTTTCTACAATCGGGTGCATAAGATTGAGCTGGGTCGCAACCTGCACCCCTAGCTCCATTGCTAAAGATTCTGCCTCCTACGGTTCCATTGTCCCTATTATCTTCTTCCCCACCGCAAAAATAAACCTTCTTGTCGTATCACATTCTACCGCACCTAACCTCGCTCCCAGATCCGACAGGATGCCAGCATCTGAATTGATATTTATTCTATTCAAGGGCGGGGCAGTCCACTTCTTTATCGGGGTAGCTTTGGGCAGTTCTTGTCTCTTGGCTTGGTTCTGTTCGTACTCAGTCAACAGTTTTGCAGCATGAGGAACGATCTCTACCTCAGCCAGCTTATGGCCATTAAACAAGAGAGCATTTCACTCCTTCCACAAGTAATAAAGGAGTATACACCAAAACTCCCAAAGCTCCTTCTCCATTGTTTTTATCACGTCCTTCAACCAGACAAAACAGTCCTCGCTTACCCTTTTCTCGAAACACACAGCAGTAGCGGATAACTGGAAAATCCGCCGACCCCAGTCACAATCTCTTAGCGCATGAGCTTGCGTTTCAACCTGATTACAGAAGGAGAACTTGTTACTCCACCTAGGATTATGTTCACTTACTTTGACACCCAACGGGAGGGAGTTCTTTGCAAATCTACACATAAAATTGATCTTGGGATGGATATTGAGTGCGAAACCGTCTTCCATAGAGAGTCCGATTGCGGCACTAAGATACCTTGATCATCATTGTTTTGTTTTGTCTAGACTTTGTATGCGTCCTTGACTGTGTAGTACCCATTTTAGCTTGTAGGCCATATTTGGACATCCTTATCCATCATATCTCTCAACGGGATACTTTTCACAGCGAAATCCATCTCGTTATCGAAACAAACCACTAGGAGATGATTATCCCATGTTCCTGATTCAGGATCAATAAGCTTGTTGACTGTTGCATCTGCTGGCAGGCCGCATGGAGCAGACGTAATATATGAATCCAGGGCAGTGGGGACCCATCGATCCCCCCATATTTTTACACTCACTCCATTCCCAATCCTCCACCGTAATCCACTACATAGAATTTCTTGGGCGCTAAGCAGACTCCTCCAAATGAAGTTTTGTAGCCCATTTCAGCTTATAGAACCTAAGTATGGGTGGGATTTTTCCTTGATGATTTTAGCAATTAGAGATCCTGGTTGCTGGTGAAGATTCCATAGTTTTTTAGCTAACAACGTTGTATTAAAACCACGCAGGTTTCTGAATCCCATTCCACCATTCTCCTTCGGCATCTCTAGTTCTTCTCTACTAATCCAGTGAGCTCTCCTCTCCGTCCCTCTCTGTCCCCACCAAAAATTGTTGGTCAGTTTGTGCTCGTCAATCACACCCTCTGGAATTCTGAAGACTGACATTGGATATGTCAGTTGGGCCTGAGCTACTGATTTAATCAGCATTTCCCTAGCCACCGTTGACATAGTCCTTTCCTTCCATCCTTTCAGTTTCTTTCGCAGCCTATCCATAATCCCCTCAAAAAGCTCTTTCTTCGATCTTCCTGCTTAAGTTGACAACCCCAAATATTTATCGAGCTTTTGAACGGTCTGTATTCCAAAACACCACCAATCTCTAGTCTCCAGTTAGTCTTGATGTTTTTGCTAAAAAGATATTTCCGATTTTTGGAAGTTAATCAGCTAGCTCGATTCAGCTTCATAGTCTCTCAGAATCTTCTTCAAACACAGCATTTCCTCAATGGTTGCTCTGCCAAAGAAGACACTATCAACTGGAAAAAAAGAGATGGGAAATATCGAGCCACCTCTACCACTTATATCTTATTTATTCTTCTTTCCTCTGCAGCTTTAGCTGTATAGGCCGATAAACCTTCTGCACACAACAAAAACAGGTAAGGTGAAAACGGATTTTGTGCTTGAATTGCTTTTAGTTGGTGGAAGTTGTGTGCTCTTGAATTGCTTTCAATTCATGGAAGTTTCTTGAGTTACTTTTGGCATGATAATATACCCTAACTCTTGACGAGTGAACCCTGAATCTTAGTTATCTAAATCATAGAGCTTAACCCCTAAGATTGTGCATGTAATTTGTAGCATATATTTCGACAAATCATAATAGTCAATTTTTGTTGCTAATTATATTGATCTTAGTGTATGAGATTCATAGAATTAAGACCTAAATTTTAAAGGGTTTGAGAATAATACCAGATTTCAAACTTCGGTCAATTCAAGGTCTAGATATCATCTTCTTATTCGTTTTTGTCATATATTTGGACGAATCATAATCGTCGGTTATTATTTTTAATTAAACTGATCTTGGGGTATAAGAGTTAAAGAATTAAGACTTTGATTTTGATATTTAAGGGTTAGAGTATATTATCATGACCGAAAGATCAATCAATTCAAGGCCTAGATAGCATTTTCATACTCACAATATGTGGTACCCCAGATTTCACCCTGAGTACCGTACAACTCACCTATATATATATGGTAGCTACTTCAATTCATCCACTTTTTTGTTTACATTAACTCTAATAGTAGTCTTTTTTCAGTCCTTAGCGAAAGTTTATCTTAATGGTATATATTTGCGAGCAACTTACTCTTGCAAAATGTTCATATTTTACAATCATTGTCACATCATTGCTAAACACTTTTAGTATTTCTAGTCAAATTGAAGGCTTATAAAATTTTATTATTTTTAATGTGGATTCAATGAGAGGAATTCAAAAAATAAATTAACAGGACACTAGTACCAAAAGTCTTACTTCATAAAATTCACATTCTTAAATAAGGGGAAAATGAGTTCAATAAAAAGAGTAAGAGAATTTGATGAAACAAACATTTTTTATAATACAAATCAACAAATTTTAATGATCTTATGCACCGAGATCGTGCATTTAATAATTACATAAGAATAGAGGAAAATAAGACACCTAAGAAACTACAAAAGCACCAAATTGAAGATGATTTTATTTTACATGTTGATATATATTATCATGGAAATATATAATCCTGGAAATATTTAGTTTATTCTTCATATCCAAGATAGCTATTACTTTTCTTTCACTTAATTTACCTACTTCATCTTTCTTGCGGTGTGGTCTTCAGCTTTGCCACCATCTTTTTTGGTTTCTTTGTCGTCACTCTCCTTTTCGTCGTCTCTGTCCTTCTTCTTATCTTTCTTGTCATCCTTCTTGGAATCACCTTTTTTCTCCTTTTTATCATCATCCTTCTTATCTTTCTTGTCATCCTTCTTGGAATCACCTTTATTCTCCTTTTTATCATCATCCTTCTTATCTTTCTTCTCATCCTTTTTGGAATCGCCTTTTTTCTCTTCTTTATCATCATCTTTCTTCTTCTTTTTCTCATCTTTGCCATCTTTCTCATCATCATCATCATCATTCTTCTTCTCCTTCTTCTTCTTCTTCTCCTTCTCTTTCTCCTTCTCGTCGTCCTTTTTCTTATGGTCTTTCTCGTCATCGTCTTTCTCGTGTTTGTGGCTTTTCTTCTTTGAGTGTTTGACATCCTTATCTTCATCTTTTTCGTGCTTTTCCTTCTTTGAGTGTTTATCTTTCTTGTCATGCTTTTCATCGTCCTTCTTGCTCTTTATCTTCTTATCATGATCTTTCTTGCTCTTAGTATGTTTATCGTCATCTTGCTTGTCATCCTTCTCGTCGTCACTCTTCTTGGCCTCCTTTTTATCATCATCTTTTTTATCGTCATTCTTTTTTACTTTCGCGGCCTCTTTCTTTTTATCGTCTCCTTTCTCAACAGGTCCAGTATCACCAGCACCCTGTTGAGGATTTACTGGTTGAACAACTTGGTCGTTAGGCTTGGCAGGTTGTACATCGATTGGCGCAGCAGTAGCATCATCTCCTCCTGCATCTGTGCCTATATTTCCAATCACATCATCTTGAGCTTCAGCTTCTCTAATAGTCAATGAACACATAAAAAGTGTCGCAAGAATGAAAAGCGTCACAATTTTTAGGGTCGCCATTATTGGAGCAACGATAGGTTTCCCCGGGTGTGTATGGGAGTGAGAAGCTTTTGTTCATGGTTGGCATTGAAGGAAATTATGATTTAAATAGTGGCATTTTAACCTTTTTTAGGGAAATAATATTACTTTTTCACGGTTTAGAATTTCTTGAGATGTTATCTCCCAACCATGTTTTGTTTGAGGTGCTTAGAAAGTAAGAAATTTTATTTGAACAAGTCGGCATAAATTTCTGATATTTTACGACGATAAAGGTCTTGGACTCATTTTAATCACGATAGTATAGATTTCAGTCCAAGAGTATAAACACTTTATGTTGATTATAATTGATATCTTGAAACCTTCTGACTAAAAATGTATAAAAAATTAATTCATTCTTCAAAATTGGTCAATAGTGATTTTGTTTTGGATTTATTATCTCTATCGTTATTCTTTATTTTTCTATAAAAATAAAAAACGGAACTATGGCATCGACTTGACAAGCGATCACAAGTCGTATACTTTCTAGGCCTTCCTATCCAAGTGGAACAGGATTAGAGTTTTTAGGGTTTAATAATGCAGAACTAGCAAGGCGATGAATTAGTTTTTGTTCTTGATGCAAGAGGTGATGGACTATTGTATAATTTTCTTTATATATCTCATATTTTTCTCTTATAATTATATAATGGATTCTCTAAATCTGCTGCTCGACATATTGAGACTGGTTTATGTGGAAGGATACCTTGCTCACAACTCTGATTATTGGATTGGCACCTAAAGTTGTATAATTACTTATAACCAGTGTTATTAAAACCAATTCAAACCAGTCGGTCGGACTGATAAAACCGGCACCTGACCACATGTCCTAGCCGAAATACCTAAAAAGTCATTGTGGTTGAAATGGGTCGTTACTGAGCAGCCGAAACAATTAACCATTCAAGCCGCTTGAATCGCTCAACCCATTTACCGTTATAAAAATAAAACCAAACACTACATTTGAAAGTTTTTGGGTTCAATTAACTCGCTTTTGCCGACAACCCTTTTCCTATGGTATCAACGATGATAGCAGCTATCGCGTCTCCTTCAAATCAACCACAAATTCTCCTTCTCCTTTTCCAATTGTGCTCCCTCCGGATCTGCCGTCCCCTTGCTCCCTTTAGGCGAGAGGAGGAAATGAGGTTGACATTCAAATGAGAAAGCAATGCCCACTGATCGTCTATTTCTAGGCAAGGGAGACAACAGCGCCTGATTCTTGGCAGCAGCAGTAAACAGTCGTCAACAGGAGTTGTGCATGAGTCGGCGACGCTCTTTATGGGATTTGGTTTCTAAGAAAGAAATAAAAGGAAATTGTGAGTCTTTTTTTAAGCAACATATGAGATTTAACCTTTTAGTGGATGGATGAGGAATAGAAGGAAAAGGAATAGAGGGATTTTAAGAGGGAGAATATAAGGAAAGAAAGAGGAAGAAGTGATTGTAGAGAGAGGGAGGTTACATTTTTCACTTTGGTGTTCATCTTTCTTCCATAGGAGAAGAGGAGGAAGAATTGAAATTGTCAAAATTAGAGAGGATGGGAGAGGGCGGCTGTCTAAGTTGGGTGGATTTAGGGTTTCTAATTAGTTATATTCCTCTATATATAGTGCATTGTGATTCGTCGCCCTAAATAAGTTAATTTTACTAAATAAGTTCATTTATTTGTGGTTTAAACACTTAAATACCAGGGAAAAAACAAAATCTCAAGCCGCATAATTGGCCCGGCCTACCAAAGATATTTTTCTTTATCCACCATCGCTAGCCGCCGCCTCCATTACTTGCCACCATTATCGACCGCCGACCGTTGTGAAAAAGGCAACGAGCATCAAAAGCTGGCTCATGATGCGACAAAACAATTCAGCACACTATGATTATCACCTAACATGATACAATAAAGATTTAATTATTAGGACCATATAACCGCGCTCCTGAAGGACAATGAGAGTGGCAGGACAAAAGAGGATCGATGCCAATTATATTTATAAAGACAGGACGATAATGCTGCTTGGGGACCATGAGGGCAGAAGGACAAAGGAGCATCGTTTAGAGTGCTATCGGTTGATAATAGAGGGTCATTGGTGTAATAGCAAATTAAATGAAAAAGAGACACTGAAAAAAATAAAAAGAAATCATCCTTTTATTGGACTAAATTACATGTTTGGTCAATCAATTTACATAAATCTTTCACATTTATCACACAAATTACTTTTCTTTTTTCTTAGCCACTAACTTTATGAATCATTTCACTGTTAGTCACCGACCGTCAGTCTTTGTTAAACTCTGTTAACGCCGTTAAGTTTTTTATGATTTGGCAAACAGGTGTGCTGACTGGACCATTAACTTAATTACATGTAAATAAATTTACCCCTAGCTCACAGAAACTCTCTCTCTCTTCCAGTGTCCCATCGATGGTAAGAGTGAGACTATCTCTTACTTGAGAAATTTCCTTCTTCAGCTAGGGGAGGAATGTGTCAGGAAGGATTGAGAGGGAGAAGGAGAAGACGACGACGATGGTGGTTTAATGGTGAGACAGCCGACAGAGTTGGGGTTCTTGTTTGGGTTTGATAGACGAGGGAGACAGAGAGTAGGTCGAGAAGAGAAGAGAGAGGCGAAAGGTTACAGACGGAAAGGGGAAAAGTGGAAAGAGGGGGGAATCAGACGATAAGAAGAGAGGCGGAAGGTTACAGACGGAAATGGGAATGAATAAATTGGGGAAGAGTCTCTTTTTCTTTTTTTGTTAATTTTTGTTTCTTAATAAAGAATTTCACATCAGCCTTCTCCCAGCCTAGTCAGCATTCACATTTTCCACGTCATCAAAATTCTAACGACATTAATGGAGACCGAAGGAGACTAACGGCCAGTGACTAACAGTGAAATGATTCATAAAGTTAATGGCTAATAAGAAAGAAAAATAATACGGGTGACAAACGTGAAAGATTTATGTAATTTCAGTGACCAAATGTGTAATTTAGCCCTTTAATTGTCAGATGGCTTCCAAAAAAATAAATAGTGATTTGAATACAAAAGGTGTGGCGGGATGTAAGTACTAAGTACGAGGTTGTAAAAAAACAAAAGAATTAATATAACGTGTTCAATGCCAAGGTCACATAGCCTAGCGGTGAAAGCTTTAATGAGGGCTCGTCCGAGGAAGTGGCAGATCCGGTGTTCGACCCCACTGAGACCCGCTAAGATGTTCCCAGAGGCATTTAATGGAGATTCTCGTGGAGGGCCCAAAGGGCTAAAGCAGGCGAACCCCCTAAATTTGCTCACGCTCCGCCATCGATCAAGCGGTGCGTGCGTGGGGATGTTCCTCAGTTATATAAAAATAACATGTTCAATAATAAAAAATAATGGCGCCAGGCGGAATTTTTTTTTGTTGACATTGTCTTACATTTATATGTATACTAGGTAGCTGTGTCTCAATGCGTGCACAATAAAATTTGGGTTCCTTGCTTTTTGCCCATCAAGCTCACCATAACTAATAATTTTTTAAAGTGCGTCCAAGTCCACTACGTTTTGATTCCCTTGGTGTAGCCTTTCTAGTTTATTCTAGTATCAAAAACCAAAATATGATGGGAGAATCACTCTATTGCTTCTTCGTGACACATCCTCTCTTTTCTCAATCCATCTCATATAGACTTATGGAAACAATCTCTCTTGATCAAGGTTGCAAAATTGTCTTAGGAAAAATATCATTATGTCCTAGAATCAAGCTAAGTCACGAAATCAAAGAACTGGCATGTAGTTGGGTACAATAAAAGAGCCTTTTTTTGAGCCACCAAATGGGTCACCCTTGTTATGATCCCAAATTGCTTACCATTCAAGATTATATGGATTGATCAAGGAACAAGGTCGCTAAGGAACAAACACACATGAAATTTAGTTAAGTGTTTTGGTTATTCCAGGATGCCAACTTGGGAGACTCGGATCTCTCTATTTACTCAATGAAAATGTGATTTCTTGGGCTTGTTTTGATCCTTGGAGTTCGCACTACAAGCTAGAGGGTTTGGGAGCTCAGAAAGAAGCATGGACGTGTGTGTTTGAAGGCTAACAAGTTACTATGCTAAAACTGAAAATCTACCTGTTTTTAGCTAAGGCATTTGATGTGTTCAAGTAGCCATCTTTGGAACCCCATATCTCGAATTGGGGACACGGTTAGGCATTAAATCAAGTTGGAACTAAGACAAGAACACTTCATAAACCCAGGGAAGGCATTGGCTGAGCTTGGTTCAACGTGGCGGACCATTTTCGAGGGCCTCAAAGAACCTCACTCGCGCTGCCAAATAATCCGAGTTCTATAAGGATTCCTAGTTCATTTTGGATTACAATTGTAATTCAGTTTCCTTGTTTAGTTAGGTTAATTTCAGTCCTTGTTCTAGTTTGTTTTTAGTTGTTTAAGCCTACAAAAGGCCTCATTCACGAAGTGTAACATTCAGAGATGAATTTGAGTAAAAACCCCAAAAATTCCCAACGTGAGAGTTGTGAGTTTGATTTGCTTTTGGTTGCAATCAAAACTTGCTGAAACCTTAGCCTATTGATTGAGAAACACACTTAATTACATCGAAGACATCACTATAACGATCATGTAATCTCCTAGGTGTGAGATTCCTCTTTCGTTTCCATCAAACTTTGGCTCAAACAAGCTTACCCGAGCTCATTTGAAACTCTGTTTCGTGAGTTCTTGAACAAAGGACCTTCGTTCCTTTGTTTGGCTGTGCAATTCTGATCAAACACCCACCTAGGGTGTTATCAACCCTATTGTTATTCTGGCCTACAAATCAAACAGTCACGTCTGTATTCCCTGCCAGAGATAGCAAGACTTCTTCAAAAATAGCACCCGCCTGACTATGTTGGGCATCTGCACAATTGATTTTACCTATAACTACTTTAGCATCGCACTCAAACCGCACTGCCACAAATCCCTGTCCCAGACACCACCGAATCGCCTCCCAGAGAACTAGGAGCTCAATTATCATAGGATCAACAATCTCTACAAATTGGATGCCCCTATCCAGAAGAACCATTCGCGAGTGATCTTTAATAATCATCCCCAAGCCGAGTGAGACCCTAACTTTGTTGCCCCGCCTCGCATACATATTTGATAATCTGGAGGTCCCTGAACCCCAATATTTGTTACCTAGACAGGCTGATGCATACCCACCTCCAAAGGAAAATTAATCCATTTGTGATATTGGTGAGTATACTAACGCATCAGGCAGGGATCCTGAATTTCTTGCCCTCAAAGACAACCCAATTTCGGGAATGCCAAATTCGCCAGAGGATAGTCACGATTGCCATAATTTGATTAGGGTGTCTAATAAGAACCAGCAGCTTTATAAGGAAAGGGGAAAAGTATGTCGAGGAAGAACTTGACTCAGATGTTCCAGGCTGGAATAATCCCAAAGAGCCTGTGCCATCGGGCATTCAAGGAAAATATGTTCCATCGTTTCCACTTCTGCCTAGCATACCGGATAACAAGGGAGCACCGATACTTTCCTATGAATGAGGGTTGCTGTCGTAGGAAGGATTTGGTGCAAGATTTGCCATAAGAATATCCCCAACTTTGGTGGAACTAGGGAATTCCATACCTGAACCTAGCTCTGCCTATCCATCTAACTCATTGTATCGTGCCATCGACCCTCCTACTTATCTGCTAGCACTGCTAAGTGATAAGTCAATTTTACAGTGAAAATTCTATCACTAGTCTCATGCCAGATAAACTTGTCTTCAATATCTTGACGAGGTAAAGGGATCGACGTAATGGCACAACAAGTATCCAGACTGAACCATTGGCGGAGCTTAGCTTCAGACCAGTTTCCATCCTCCTGAAAAATAGCCTCAGCCACCTTAACATCGCCATCCCCCGGAAGATCTAAAGATTATAAATTGGAAGGTGGGGATGCAAAAGAGAAATCCAGCTTGCGGTCAACAAATGCGCTGGGAGACCACTACCAATCTGCCAGCGTAGCCCCCGCATTAACAAATCACGTCCATATAGGATGCTTTGCTACGCCCATCTCGCTGTCGCTGAAAGGAATGAACTTGTCGGGAAATACTTTCCTTTGTAGACTTGGGCTAGAAAAGAATGGGGATCAATAAGGATACGCCATCCAATCTTGGCTAGCAAAGCCTAGTGGAAATGCTGAAATCGCCGAAACCGCATTCCGCCATCATGTTTGCTGTGACACATATTTTGTCAAGATACCCATTGGATTCGGGAATCCCCATCATCGACCCCTACCAAAACCTCGCCACAATCCTGTCTAAAATATGACAAAGGGTAAGAGGTAATTTAAAACACGACATGACATGCATGGTAATGCCGCCGAGACTGATTTACTCAAAGTCTCTTTCGCAGCACAGGACAAAGTCTTTTGGAGCCACCCCTGAAAACGTTCCCTTAAATTTTCTTCCAGCAAGCTGAACGTGGCCATTTTAAATTGGGAAATGAGAGCAGGCAAGCCCAGGTACTTGTCTTGAACCTCTACCTCTCCAACGCGCAGAATTTGAGCAAGGAATTCTACGTTTGTGATCAATATATTTTTGCTAAAGCAAACAACCGACTTATCCAAGTTAACCCGCTGGCCACTGAGCTCTTCATACTCATTTAGGATCTCAATCAGATTCTCACATTCTTGTAGCGAACCTCGAAGAAATAAGTATGAATCATCCGCGAAAAATAGATGGGATATTCGAGGAGCTTGAGGAGGAACTTTCATTCCTTCAAGTTCCCCCTCTGAAATTGCCTTCCGAACTAGGGCCGCTAATACGCTTCTCACTACCATGTCAATTCCATTGTAAGGCCAAGAACACGAGCACTGATTAGGATCAAGATTTTATAAAGATTCGAGGGCGAATCTTTTTCAAGAGAGAGGGAATGATGCGATATCGACTAGCGCAATATTTAATTCACTTGGTTCAAAAATGAAGATTCATATTCGAAAATTTAAGGATCAATCAAGAGCATTTTTTATGGATGAAATTATGCTCATGGTTAGGTTAATTCTTCACGTTGACGTGTGGTGGATTTGGGACGTCAAAGCTAGCGTCCATTTAGTGGCTAGGTTTGTGGAAGGTGACTTTGGGTTTGCATGATGGAATTAAAGAATGCATGTGGAATACGGTGATTAATCATGGGTGATAATTGCATGGTTGGTGGGTTGATGCTACGTGAAAGGAACTCCAAATCATGGAAGGAAAATGATTATGTGAAGTTTGAAGGAAAGAAAAGATCCGCTACTGCTACGAAAACAAGAAGGACGCACGAGCTGCGTTCTTGGTGGTGCTATTTTTTGAGTTTAATAAGTATGGAGTATAGAGGGTTTTGCACGCCTCGCGGGAGTTTAGCATTTCACGGTCATGCAATTGTGAAAATCTACTTCTGACCGTGAAGTGCCTAAGTGAAACGAAGTGCTTTTGCTTGACATCCCGGTCCAAGCCAAATGTTCATGGCGGTGAAATGGGAGCGTGAAATTCTGTCGATCTGGGCATATAAGGAGGTCTTAGCTAAAAGAGAAAAGGAAGAGAACCTAGTGAGAGAGACTTATTCTTCATATTTCTAGAGTGATAAAATGACGAACAAGAGGAGGAGCAGTTAGGGTTTCATCCAAGAGAAAAGTTTTGGGAATTTCTTCCTTCTCGAGGTTGATTTCCACACCACAAGGAAGAAGGCAAATATCCTAATAGACCCTAGAATCTAGGGTGCGTGGAACTCGGTGGAATTGGGACTAGGTTAGATCAATTAGGGATGATCAAAGGAATTAGAAGTTGGGAAAATGAGTTGTAGATAGATAGAGAGAGAGAGACTCGGTCGAGGCCTAGAGAGAGGTTGGGGGTTCGGCTAGGAAAAATAGAGAGAGGAATTTAGGGTTTAATGATATTATTAGGCTTAATCGTAACCTAACTTACACTGATACTTATACTAATCGACAATTATTCCCTTTACTGGCCGAAATAATAACCTAATCATAATATTTCCTCCCCAACAATAAATCAATCATACCAATCTGAATGGTAAACCGACAATTACTACAAATTCTTAATAATTATAAAATGTTTCCATCATCCCCTTCCCCTTAAAGCGCAACCTTGCCCTCAAGGTTTCTTCTTCTCATCATGATCCTCCTTCATTTCCATGTTTTCCTCCTCGTCCTCTTCATCTTCCCAACGCCCCAAGAACATCATCAAATCCGTGCTTGCACCCGCACGAGAACCTACGACCGCGTTCTTTGCCGCTTCCGATCGGCCCAACTGCTCCACCACTGCCACTAGACCTCGGCAACCTCCCCACCACACTCCTCCAATTTGCGATCTCCTCTTCCTTGAGCCCTTCCATATGAAAAGCAGTTCGCAACGAGTTAGGCTAAAAAACCCTTACCGCAACAGCAATATCCGGCTTCAACCCTCCCATGCACAGTCGGACTAAGGTTTCTTCTGACACACCCTTGCACTGATTCTCCAGCTTAAGAAACTCCGCTCGATACTCCGCAATTGTTCCAGTCTGTCTTAACTTCGCTAGTCGCTCTGGCGCCCAGCCATCTGACTAGCCAAACTGATAGCAAACTTCTTCCTGAAATCGAGGCTAGGATATTGGTGTCCTCATTTCGGCAAATGTCCTCTCTAGCCACTCCCACCATTGTAATGCATCGCCTTCTAATTAGAAGGATGCCAGATAAGATTTTCTCTCCTCGCGCACGTCATGGTTCTTGAACCACCTGTCCACTACATACAACCACAACCCAGTATCCTCCTGACCATTGAATTTTGGAAATTCGATGGTTTGAGGCTTAGCTCGAAACATCAAATCACCACCATTCTCATAGTTTGCTCCATAACCCCCATACCTGCCAATACCCGGCATGGCGGCCCGGTGATGCCCTTGCTGGCTTCTCTCCCTTCCTCCACTTCCTTGCCCAAACTCCAAGTGTTTTTCGTTGCTCCTATCATCCATTTGGCCCCGTCCCATAGGAGTAATAACCTCCCCACCCCCCCCCCCCCCCCTTCTCCTTCTCGCTCCATCCTCCATTCGCACCTGCTCAGACCGCCTTGGCCATTGCCCTGCCCTAGGCCGACCCAGGTTGCGAATGAATTGACCTCGGTGACCTCGATCCCCGCCTGACCCAACGGGTCGGGTCGCTCCTCCTTGGCTCGGCGATCCTTCCGTGCACTCAACCTCCCTGGTCCCATCAAGCTTCCCTCTTCATTATCCTCGAACCGCGTATCCGATTACTCGAACATCACATTCTAAGTGATGTTGTCGTATCCCGCCATTTTTGCCTGCCCTTTTGCGCCGCGATTTCCTGCTCCGATGGAATGTGTAAGAGACTGTTGCCTTGCCCTGACTCCCTCGGAATTTGAATCCTTCGAGCCCCCAGTCCTCCTGCCCGGTTGGAACCTCCTCGGCTTTGACCTCCTTCAGCCCAGTCTCACTCGGCCGCCTCAACTCCCTTCCTGCATCCATGCTCGCTGCAGGAGACAGCCCCCCGAATAATTGAACCAACACCTTCGAGAGTAGCAGCACCATCTGATCGGCGTTTGTGTTAGCTTTTTCAGCAGCTAACCTTGTGTTTTCGGCAACCTGATAGATGGAATGATTAACCTCCTTCAGCCCTTCTTCTAGGTTTCCTTGCATCTTGGAAACCTTGAACATCTCAGTACGAGTTTCAGCCCAGTCCGGCTCCTCTACGCAATCTCTGTCGCGCAGCTGCTGCACGACTACCTTATCTCCCGGCTTTGGCGTTGCGGTCGCCGCCGTGGTTTTGTCACCGCCAGCCTTTTCCTCCTGCGCGCATGTGATAGTCATGGTCAAGTGATCTCCGCACCCAACCAGTGCTCTGATACCAGTTGATAGACCCTAGAATCTAGGGTGCATGGAACTCGGTGGAATTGGACTAGGTTAGATCAATTAGGGACTGATTAAGTAATTAGAAGTTGAGAGAATGAGTTATAGAGAGAAAGACTCGGCCAAGGCCTAGAGAGAGGTTTGAGGTTCGGTTAGGAAGAACAGAGAGAGGAATTTAGGTTTTAATGATATTATTAGGCTTAACCGTAGCCTAAGTTACCCCGATACTTATATTAATCGACAATTATCTTCTTTACTACTCGAAATAATAACCTAATCATAATACTCCCTCCCCAACAATAAATCAATTATACTAATCTGAATGGTAAACCGACAATTACTACGAATTCTTAATAATCATAAAATGTTTCCATCACTTTGGTGTTTGTAAACCCTAGCTATAATTATGTGAATGTATGGATGGATTGAATGACTTGTGTTTGGTTGTGTTTTAATACAAGTTATGAGGTATTTTCATGAAGGTTATGTTGTGTTTTTTCATTTCCAACTCTTATGCCATTTTGACCTAGGTAGAGGGAAATCCCCTTCTTGCGTTGAATTAGGGCGAACCTCTTAATACGTATTATCACCTTGGGTAGGTTGTGTTTTGGCCGTCCGGACTACGGTTCGAGGGAGAAGCCCAAGCAACCCTTAGTCAAATGGCCAAGAGAGCTACCTTGGTAGGTTGATTCCAAATCCCTTGTCCTAGTGACCGAGAGAGTGACGGTTGTTCACTTGTTGCGCTTCCCTAAGCTTTACAACCGCCTTTACCACATATTTGCATTCGATCCGACAAGTCATGATTAATAGCTAGTGAGAGAAACACATGGGTGATTCCTTCTCAATTAGTGTTCAAACCATTTACTTTGCCAATTTCTTTAGCTTTAAACCATAGTTTGAACCAAAAACCATTTGCTAGATAATGTTTCAAACAATTGAAGTAGGGGTACATGGACCGGCCCGGGTTTGACATTTAAAACATAATTGCTCTATATTGCACCCGGTTAAGGTTTATACTTGGCCTTAATCGGGATTTTTATTGTGATATTCGGGATGATTCATGGTTTTGTGAGGAATAGGAAGTCCAATGACGACGAAGTCAACTAGTAGTTGCTACATTATATCAAGGCAAGCCCATAGGAAGAAGACTCGACACTATTTGGACAAAGGAATAAGTGGTAACCCAATTAACTTGTCCAACTGCCTCTACAGAAGACATCTCAAGTTGTACCCAAATCATCAGAAGAAGTCCATGGACTAGGAAACCCAACCCATGAAGAAAAAGAGCGGTGGGTCCAATCACCGCCCTACCGCAGCCAACCCTAAACCTTGTCGAGGAAGTTTACTTAGCCTACATGGTTTAGGAGACTCTATCCTAATCGTTTAGGATGTTTTAGGACGGGATTTTCCATTATAAATAGAGGACATGACCCATTAGCTTAGTAAGCCTGCACAAACACAATAATTCTCTATAACATTCTGCATGAGTGGTTAGTCTAGTCGAAGTAGATCGGACTGCATTTAAGGAGATGCTCTTATTACATCTTGGATGAATAATCTAAGATATATTCATTTAGAGTGGTGGTTACGATGTTTTTTTTAATTACCCAGGATCCTCAACCGCGCTTTCACAAAGCCTACTAAATCTGGGCGCCACCAGCAATCAATTTCGATGCCAGCAGGGCTTCACTCCTAGCAGTCTTGTACCTCCGAGAATACCAAGGGGCCTCATTTGGATCGAACCTGGGATCAGCAACTACAAAATCTTCACTGTTGCGTCAGCTTTATTGTTAGGCTTCTTACCTTTGATGGTAGTTACCATGTTGGATACTAAATGAATAGGAACCTTAGGTGTCAATTTAGGATATGAAATGAAAAACTTCTTAAGCTAAGCAAATTGAGAAGCTAATAAGTCTGAAATTGGGTTGTCTTCTATGTCAAGTTAAGTTTTTTGTGGAGAAGCTAATCACCGGTTGAAGGGTGGTTCACCCTTAATGTTGGTATTAGGGTATCCAATCAGGGAGCAATATGTCTCCTAAAGCTGAAGGGAGATGAAATTGAGGAGTATGATGTTTGTCATCAGGATGGCTTTCTCATTAATTTTTTAGACAATTGGCATGTTGCTCCCCCGAACCTAGAAGACATCAGCTCTGACATGGGGACCAATGGTAGCTATGAGCAATGCCTCATTCATGTTAATCTTTGATTACTACTAGAAATGACTCGCTCACTAGTTTTTCGTGGCGAGTGGAAGATAACACTGTAAATGTGTAATATGAAAGAAATAGTAAAATATGACTAATAAGATATAATTGTAAAAACAACATGAAAACCACAAAGATGTTATATGAGATCTCGATAGAATTTTCAACTGGCCAATTATGCTAGATACTGAGGAGGACGATCAACATACTATGAATAGGAAAAGACTAAAGAGACCAAACAGAAAAAAAGAAAACATTTACTATGTACTCTCAATCAAGATGGAAATACAAAAGGAAATAAAGAATATGATAAAAACAATGATTGCATAGGAAAAAGATGGTAAAACGTAGAATCTGGGTTTGTCGGTTCTGAGGTCACTCGGTCCCTTTTAGAGAAAAAGTGAGATTTCTCTTGGGTCATTCTCTTCAAGTTCGAGCAAGAGGGATGAGTAAGTGTAGAAAACCATATACACAATAGGTCGATTTTAGTACAACGAAAATAAAAGAAACGTTATAAGAAAAACATTGGTCACTATAACGTTCTCATATGTGATCTAGAAAACCTAAAGTTCGATGAAGCCCCATCAAACAAATAAACAAATGATCACCTTCCTTAACTCAAATTGTAGGAGAACATTCAATATATATATGGTGTTAATGATTGAATCTCATCACAAAGACCATGTAATTTTATGTAAAATTTCTAAATGGATAACTTTTCTTGATAAAACAAGCTTATGGCCGGTGCACCACAACACGTATTAGCGATAAGCACTTTGATGGCAAGATATAGATTGGATCTTCACTAAATATCCTCGTCATTCGAGCAAAATAAAAGTTGCTAATAAAGACAATATTGGACATCATAGTTTTAAGCTAGCTCTTAACCAATACATGTCAATGTTTCCAAGCATCAAGATCAATTCAACATGCCAACAATCAGTCAGTTCACCAAGGCACTCTCTATCATTGATATTGTGAGAAGATCACGAGCAAACAACTGACTGGGATTGCCTCATGATATGGAGTGTGTATGGCAATAACGATGTAACAACAGCTATGCGAACCATAATCACACAAGATGGTGGATAACTGGAGTTTTCTAATTGGAAGTCATGACAAAATAGCCACATAGTCGACTCACAACTGTGATATTATGGGACCTGCTACAATAACTTGCATTTTCTTATGTTAGGTAATTTGAATTTTTTTTTTGCACAAATCCTGATCATCAAAATTTAAAATATGCAATTACAACCATTGATGGGAATTATAAAAAAAACATCATGCGTATGGGCAACAACCTGTACCAGTTACACCTCCTGCCGAAAATCTCACCCGAATTGTAATTATAATAGGAAGAGGTGGTCGGTTTGGAAGGGGTTTCCTGATGCCCAATGAAAGCTAGAGGGCAAAATTCTTTCTATTTTAAAATTGGTATTCCAAATCCCAATAGCAAATCATAATTTGTGACTCAACGTATCTCTCTGTTTCGTTTGCCGGTTTGTAATGATTAGGATTTTGGTTATAACAAATATTTAGTTGAAGGAGTCTTTTGTAATTGACCTGCCCTATAAAAGGACTTGTAATGTGAACGAGAGAAGTTAGAAAGAAATAGCAGAATGTTGTAAAATAGCAAGGAAGAGCAATAGACATAAGAGTAAGAGTAGAGACACAAGAAGAGTGGGGGAATAGAGCTTTCTTATTCATGTATTGCTTAGTACAAGGAGATCATCTATTTATAAGCACACATCACATAACCTCTACATTCTTACAATCAATATACATGAATGTGAGAATGAATGTGAAATAGAAATGGGGTGGGGGGTTACATGTAACACCCAATTGTGCATCTTATGTGTCATATGAAGAAATAAATATAAGGAGATGAGTTACATAGAACTTGTAACATACCATGAAGCATCTAATGTTGGTCATCCATAATGATAATAATATTTTCATAACACTCCCCCTTGGATGACCATTAGACATGAATATGCCTCGTTAAAACCTTACTAGGAAAAACCCTGTGGGATAAAATCCTAGTGAAGGAAAAAGAGTACATAATCATCATAATACGCTATTTGAATCTGCCTCGTTAAAAACCTTACCAGGAAAACCCAGTGGGAAAAACCATGGTTAAGGAAATAAGAGTGCAGTGCGTATATGCTCCCCCTCATGACAACATCAATAGTGTTGTGAACAAATCTTTCAAATATTGTCATGGTAAGCTTCTTAGTGAACAAATCTTCTAGATTGCCACTTTATGCATGATCCGTTAGGACCATTTTCTTCATACATGATCTTCAAGATCATTTTCTATGAATATAATCCGCAACCACAAGTCATTTAGACGTGTTGAATCACAAATCTTAACCAAACAATTCATAAAAAGTCTCATGAATTGTTGACCATTGTTCATGATCAGATGATGTTGTTATTGTGATTTTTTTGGAATCTCCATGAGATACTTGTACGACCATGAATAAACAAATTACTCATCTATGATCCTCATCGTTACCAATAGGTAACAAAGTATAACTTAATGAAGTATATCAATATACATTTTTGCTCTAATGACATTGGCATATGGTACTTCAGGACCTAATAAGAGAAGTTCTGTTTGATTGGATAATCATCAAAATATATCCATCATTCGGCAACTAATCTAGCAAATTTCAGGTTGCGTTTAGATAACAGACATATATGACGATATAGTTTATGAATCAATCAAAATCATAAAATTCATATATGATTTGCACGGTGAGTGTATTTTTCTGCATACACTTTTATAAAATCTCAAAAGAATCAATTATTTTCACGAGTATATTCTCCTTGAGACCATGTATCACATAATCAATCCTTTGATTGATGAATTCTATGAACTCTCACTTAATTTTCGTATGATATCTCAATCATTTTCTCATCTGTATCCGGGATGGTATGACCGGACATGCCAAAATAAAAAGTTAGCCGATCTTGCAAACTTCTGGTTTACACTTTCATATGCACTAATATACATGTAGTACAAATTTCTCTAGTTAAGTATATGTTCTCTTATAACACATTTCTGATGCAATATCAATTATGATATTCTTTTCTGCGAATATCTTCATAATTCGGTAATGCATCTTCAACTGACAGTTTAGTTCATTCACGTCTCAAAACATTAACTCTTCTGGAGCCTTCACATACACGTGTACTATATTTTGGCCATGAGGCACCTTCTGATTCGGTGAACTATTGTAAGCGCATATACATAGTGATAATAATATTTTCATACTATAGATATCACCAATATAATGTTTAGTTACTTCAAGTAACAAAACACAATCTCTTCCGGAGCTTTTGCTTACTTCATACTGTATGATATAATACCAGTATTGACTTTTGCAAATATTCATTCTATACAAAAGCATACAAAATAACAACAACAACAACAACAACAACATATATGTGTTTCATAACACATTTCGGCATACGAAGGTTACAGTATACGATCATGACTTTTGCTACATGAATTGTCATCCTCATTTATAATTATTTTATCTTTCACTTCCGATGAAAGATACATTTGCTGATTGTCATTATCCAAATACCAAATTATATTAATATAATGGTGTGTCTCGATCCATTCACTTTTAAGAATGGTTTGTTTTCATTCGCTTCCAGGAATGAAACAACAGCCTTTGGATCAAATTATATAATATTTCTCATCATCACAAGTCCAATACACTTTTCACCTTTAACAAACAAGAAATAACGTATGCTTTATAAACCCTCTTCCATAATATTGCTACTGCAGGAGCACATATAGATTTTTCATTTTCCTTCCATTGATTCTTGGACAAAGAAAACTTCTTTTCATATATCGGGTTCAAGACCAATGATACATTTTTCTTCATTTTTCCACTTCGAGGAAAATGAGATCTTTAGACTTTCATTTCTCTATGTGTACAATGTAGCAATCGATAAGTCAACCCATAATGATTTTGCTATTACAGGAGTAATTTTCATTATCTGATAATGTCCAAGCACAAACTCCATGTTACGAGATCGACATATATAAAATAATATAAACAAATAACATGATCAAATAATCCCTCAAAGACAATGAGATAGATAAACATACTAACAAGAAATCACATGAAAATTTGAGATACAGTGAATGAACACAATCTTATATCGTATCTTCCCTCCTTTTCTTTTTGTGAGTATTAGTAGTCACTCGAAATTTCATGGAGGAAGATAAAATAAATCAAGTGCATGAGCATGTCTTTGGACAACTCTAACTTTAATCACTTGAGTTTTAATGCGAAATCAGACACCTCAAAATATAATGTGCTTGTTCCCTTTGCCTTTACACTGAATGTAATCAAATTACCCTAATAGGTAATGTGTCCTAGATCTTTTCGTGTTTCGCAAAGTAGTGTATGTGTGCTGCAATGTACTGTTTAGTTGTCTCAGTAAAAGAGTCCCTAAATTATTCATCGAATAAAGCGCTTAATGATCATCAAGCACACCCAATTGGATCAATCCATACTTTTATTAAATCTCATTGAGATTTTCCTTGATAGAATAGGGGTTGTTCCATTTAAAAGTGCAAGATAAAAGCCTATATATGGAGAATAATTTTTGTTATTTTACTTTGAAACCTTTTAGATTCTTCCCATTTAGTATAAGAGTTAAATTTAAATTTGGCACAAAATATTTGAAACAAAGTATGAAAACTATAGTAAGATAAAAGAAAATATACATCATGCCATGTAATTAAACAAGACAAAAAAATCGTCCAATTTTGGGGAACTCATCATAAGATACCAAATGCAACATTAATTCTTAGTCTTTGCACAGGGAAATTAACTACGAGCGGTACTTTTAATACAATGATCAAACATTGATAATATGTTCTGTCAAACAACAGTCTATCTTTGAACCGACTGTTATTCACAGGAATAATAACTTTATAATTATCAAGTATTTATCATTGAGGGGTTTGATTATTTAGTCAGATAGTATGGTCCTTTGAGTCGAACACTACCCACATAAATAAACTTACGCGTACATCCATGTATTCTAAGTTAAATAATTTTTCGCAAGTAGAGGTTACTTTGGCAACATACTTCAAAAGTTAATTTAATAAAAATACTAGACAATTCTCTCATAAACACAAAATTCTGAATAAGTGATTAATTATCTTTAAGATAGAATTACAATAATAATTTTAAATAAAGATTTACTCCATCTAAAGACACCATGCACTCAATTAATATTTTATTTTTGGACAAACTATTAACTTGTAAGTGATGTCTTATGATATAGTAGTTAAATGTTGATGACAAGAACATTTGAATAATAAATCTACCTTTGGGCTGATTTAAAACACACATGTGAACCGAATATTTACCATACATATATTATTGAATGTGCGTATATGAATCTTTAAATATTCACCTACCTTTGAGCTATTAAAAACACAAAATTTATACATGCTATAATATAAACCTTCCTCAAAGAAAATATTCTTGTCCAAAAATTACGAGCCATGAATCGCACAAATCAATTATAGAGTGCATACTAATGATCCAACGACCATAAGGTAAGATAAAATATTAACGACAAGTCCTGTCAAATAATAGTTTATCTTTGTACCAACTATGAGCACAGAGGGCGTCGAATCCAAATAACGGCTGGCTATTGCGTATGTATGGTTTGTCGGAAAGAAGCAAGGTACGATGGTCCGGACCTTGATCAGTGAAATGCTAAACTAGGGTATCAGGGAAGTAGTCAACCAATGAGTGAGAGCAGAGAGCCCTATCGAGACGCTCTCTGATGCACGCCGATCCCATTCGCTTATTCGTCCACGTGAACTGGTCACCCTGATACAAGGATCAAGGAGGCCCAAATCATGGCCAACAATGCGGAGGTGGGTGGCATGGGCAGCGTTCCAAGGGTTTCCACCCTCTTTTTACTCGCCTAGAGCGTAACGTTGAAATCTCCTATGATCACGAAGGGTAACGTGATACCCTAACAAATTTCCAGTAACTGAGCCAATTGATTAGCTCTTATTGCTTCAACACAACTAATATAGATGAACACCACAACATAAGAAAATTCCACTTCATTAATCTGAGTACAAATGTAGAAGTTGGAATGGAAAAACACCGAAGCATTAACTTTGGGGGCCCAAGCTAAAACAAGTCCACCTGAAGAATCGATGGCATCAACAAAAAAACAATGAAAATTATCAAAACCTATTCCCGACATACGACAGGAGATGACTTGCCGGCGCGATCTTGTTTCTGAGAAGAAAATAAGGTTCGATTTATTAGAATGAACTAAACCAACAAAATTTTTAAATACGAGGGATGGCCCAATTCCTCTCAAATTCCAAGCGAGAATCTTCATTTATCTGCTTGGGGCCATTTTTGGCTGGCTACCTCCACCTTATCAGCATCATCTTCCACAAACTGTTTCTTGGGGATGGGATCCTCACCCAACTCCCCGTCAACCTCATTCAAAGAGCGCTTGCGACTGCCAAAATCTGGACCAACTAGGTTGGACCCATATTCATTGAGTTGGCTACTTTTTCTTCCTTCCTCATCTTCCTCCCAATCCTTCATTCCTTTCACAAGTTCCGGAGCCAGGGCTTGATACCCTTGGTCATCATCCCCTGGTTTGATGTGCAACCCGGATTCAAAATAAGCCACAACCTTCTGAACTCTTCCCTTCAATCCTTGAGGCGCATGCATAGTTGTCTTCTTAGGGGCCCGAGTTTTAATCTCAAAGCGGGAAGCATCATCCTCAGAGGAGGGATCGCACAAATTCTAATCTTCCTCGGTGTAGTTATTACGATGATTATTATATGTCCCCTTGGGAGGAGGAGCAATCGTTGCTTTCACCAGTCTCCACCTGTAACCCTTCGCCACCGCGTGAGTTTGGCGCAGCAGTGGCTGGGTGGGCTGCAACCTGCCTGTCATTCTTCTTATTCCAGCCCGCATCCAAATTCCTTATCTCGGGCTTGAAGTGGTTGTGCGGCTCGTTCCTCCTTCCGCCTTGTTCATGCTTTGGGCGTATATCCACACCAGGATCGCTCCTCATGGGCCCAACTCCTTTTGGCAGCGGGGAACGCTGCCAGATGAGGCGACCAGGCCTGGCCCACGGCAACCTCTTCACATGGAACCCTCTTGGGATTCTCCTCTTGTAGCTGAAAGCCGCTTTACCCGAACCAGTCCTCAGACTCGCTCTCCCTTGCGCATCTACCTGGCGGTTATCAAGACGCACCTCGACTACCCCTTCCTGGAGCCGATTGTGCACATGGCCATCCATGCGATCTCCTAGCGCAGTGTAGACCCATACTGACTTTGATTTGCTACGGTACTGTTGAGCATCATCCTCCGAGTCATACAGTCGAATGCCCAATTTCTTGGTGGACATGTGCGGTCCAAATCTTTCTTTACCAGCTGGGGGATCAAAGGTGCTTTTGTTGATGAAGTTCCCTACCCGCCCACAATTGAAGCAAAAGGATGGTAGATATTCGTACTTCAGTGATACCCAGAAACACCCAATATCATCATTGGTCGCCATGATTTGTGATCGCAACGGTTTGGTGAGGTCAATCACCGCTCTCACATTCACAAACCGCTCCCCAGTTTCTTGACTAGTAAAAACCCCAGCCTCTAAGACCTGGCCGAGTTTACTCGTGGCCATCTTCCTCCCAAACTATTGCGTACAACAATCCTCCTTCACGTTCCACGTCTGTACACGCAAAGAGACCATAGCCAGGTCATCATAGAGCTTTTTCGAGATGTTTGGTGTCCATGATCTCAAATTTAAGGTCAAGTCTTTAACCACCCACGACGTTCTTTGAAGAAGTTTTAGTCTCCTCAGAGGGCAGAGTAAATTAAAAATATCCATGCTTGGTCACAACCACCTTCAATTTTCCTTTCACCTACCAGTGCGTGATGACAGCATCCCTCACTTCCATAGTGGTGATTCGATTATTAATGAAGAGACGACCTAGCAGCGAGTGCTCAGTGGGGGTATTTGGAAGATTGCACTTCTTCCATCGAGAATTCCACTAGTTGGTCAGAGGAGGCACGAGCCATCATACGAGCCTGGTAACACGGGAATGAAAGCGAGTTAGTATCGAGCCGATTCACCTTAATTGGTGTCGGACACATCGTAGAAAGGACGTCCATGCATGTATGTTGTATGCTCTCTACCACCGAGGCCCTGGCAATGCCAATTATGCCAAACCGCAGTCATAAAAGAGGGAAGGGAAAGGCACTAATACCTTGAGTTGGAGGGCTTTTGGAAGGCGATCGGGAGACAACTACTCTTTAAGGACGCTGGATTCTATGCAAGGTAGTGGGAAACGTTCCGGGGAAAGGGCTTTTAAAGGGAAGAGTAGAGGTGGATCCTGATAGAAATACTCTAACTCGGTTTAGGGTTATTAGTTATTTTCCCCACGCAGGACTCTTATTTTGAGTACCCAAAATTTCTGGATAAACCAGGAACTTCAGGATTGGAATCTGGGGAAAATATTCGCCCAACAAATCCATTACGGATTTCCGTCGGCCTACGATGCGGCTCGCCGCCATCGTTAGGTTCCTAGCCTTAAAAAGTTTTCTTCTCGGAGCATGGACTGGTTGACATCCCATAATCCAAAAGCGTGGCTAGAATATAGATTCCGCCATCATCAGCGAGGCTTTTGCCATCGGCGGTCTCTGAAGGCATCAGAGAATTAGCTACTTCCTGGGATTCTGGGTCCACCTCCATCGAATTAGGGAGCAAGAATCGCCAGACACTATCTTTCGTCTCGCGTCTTAATTTTAACAACCCTGTGCTATACTCCTCGATTATAACCTGAGCAGCATCTAGGCGTTGTTTCCAACCCTTATTTTGGGATGGGATTGCATACTAGCTGCATAGCCACGTTTCCGCTAGCAGATTTGATTCCGCCGACGGCTTGGGGGTTCACTTCGTTCACATCCCCCGTACTCAAACTGCCCATCGGAAGGCAATGCGACGCATCTGTGCAGGTCTCTCCACTTGCCTCGTGCTGGCAAAATTGGTTCTGAAGGCAAAACATGAGGATCCCCGAAGCCACAGCGAACAAGATTTCTCCGGCTAAGTTGAAGAATCGAAGGAGAGAGCTCCTCCCCCCATTTTTTTAATAATTGTTACGACAACCCTTAATGATTAATTAGTTACATAGTGGGATTAATTAACTACTTAATTTGTTTTTTAAACTAGTGAGGAAACCAAGATTTGGAAGAAGATTTTGCTCATTTTCAGTGGTGGCCGACAATTGAGAAAAGTGTTAATAACACCATCGCATGTTCAGTTACCGGCAACAGACCGGATTCCCATACGAAACCACATTCAGATTCGCGTAATTTGCTTGGTCCATGAAACTGTACCGGATATCATACTGAAAACTCAGCGATATGATATTTTATGAAAAAATCGTGGTTTAACGGTAGTTCAACCGTTAGACCGTCAAATACCTCCTACCGATTTAGTCTCAGATTGAACCGTCGGTACGGTCGGTTTATTGGACCATGGTAATTCGGGTAGCAGTTTCGGTACCCGAACTCGTAGGAATCGCGGTTGTGAAGATAAACCACCGGGTGCCCGACGGGGAGTGAAGGTGGGAGGAAGTGTGCGGAGGCGGAGGCGGGAGTTGGAGTAGGTTTCTTGACGAGAGAGAAATCGTCCGCGCTAATCACAGACGACGGAAGGGAGACAAGGGTGTCTTGCTTCTTGGATGGGGTGAGAATCGCGCGAATCTTGGAGCTTGGGGAGAAACCATCTCTTGATTTTTTGCTCTAAAAAAAGGGATGAGGGCAGCTCTCACCTCTCTCATCGAATTTTGGTGCCTCGTCGGCCGCCGCCTCGCAATGATGTTGTTTCAGCTGCTCGAAATCAATTTGGCGAATCAGACTTGATCATCTCGTCGTGGGGATAATCAAGCCCCTCATCAGTTTCGAGAGGGTAAGGCGCAGACGGGAAAGCAGCTAGGAGAAAACATGAAACGTAGACGCGACAGTGCGGATCAGAGAAATGACTACCGATGCATCGATGGAGGCCGCGAGTGTCGATTTGAGTGTCGGTAAGAAAGCGTCCCCAAGATGAGTATCTGCCGAAGCATATGGATGAAAGATCGTTGAAACGGTCCCGCTTGGTGAGATAGGTGATGTGGTGGTTCTCACTGCCGCCGCCGACGGACAATGATGATGGTTACGGAACGGAGATATTCGGATCTCCGGCTGTCGCGACACGTTTGTGCCGACTACCGGTACGGTGGCGTACTGGCAAGAGGGATCTCCAATCTGTGAAACCATGGTGAGAATGTCAAGGGCTACGAAACTATGACGGGAATGGGAAGGGCGGTGAAACCATGCCCCCCCCCCCCCCCCCCCCCCCCCCCCCCCGCCCTTGCTTGCCGACGGTGACCTACGAATCGCATGAGATTTCCCCCCCCCCCCCCCCCCCGCATATTTCGCGGAGATTTGGATGGACTGGTACAACCGGATTCGAGAACCACCAATCTTCTCGCCAAATGTATCCCGGACGTGGGATACGTCACTAGCAAATTTGAATAAAAAAAATAATAAAAAAGAAAAAATCAATATACCTAATTCTACTCAACCTACGTCAAACGCCTGTCGTATCAGGAATCCGACTCTTGGATGGGGACATGGCTTATCCTATATATTACCCCACTCCCCAAATGCTTCCTCACAATTGAAATTAACAACCGAGCAGTCGAGGGATTTGGTAGTAGAGGGAAGTCTACGCCAGTGCCGGTTTCCAATAATATGCTTTCGCTTCATGTGTTGAAGCCAAGCCTTCCAAGCCAATCCCCATCCTTGCGTTTGTTTGGAGGTTGTCTGATAAACCTTGTGCATGGATGTATGCGAACAGATTCCCTCGATTTTTTGCGCGGACAAAAATTGGAAAAAGTCAATGATGACCAGATTGTCCAATTCTCGCTTGCGGAGGTCTAGCCAGCGAAATATCGAAGCGCGAGGACATTGCTGGGTAGACTCTTCTCAGAGGACCTTTACGCTCCGAAGGAGATATGGGATGCTCTAAATGGACCATCGCAAGGTAAGGGGAGAATCCAAGTCCGAGAAGCTAGGCGTAGCCTATTAGAGTTCATCCTCCCGAACGAAGAAGCTCGTGATTGGGTCCTGTCGCAAACGTCGTGGGTAGTTAAGGACAGAGTCCTTCATCTGCCCTCATGGACACCTACTATCACCAAACGGACGTTTGATGACCTGGCTATTGTCCCATTTCGCATCCAACTCTGGGATGTGATGGAGGATTGCTACACTCCCCAATTCGGCCAAAAGATCGTCAGCTCGACTATGGGTGATGTCCTCGAGGCTGGAGTCTTCACATGACAAAAAACGGATTCAGTGTTTGTGAAGGTCCGTGCGTTAATTGTTCTGACGAAGCCGTTGAGATCCCAACTAATGGCGACAAATGAGGAAACGGGCTGCTTCTAGGTAGCTCTCAAGTACGAGCATCTCCTGAGCTTCTGTTTTTTGTGTGGAAGACTGGGGCATCTGCAGCGGGAATGCAATTTCAAGCCCCCCTACTCGGAAAGAGAAATTTGGGATCCATATGGCCACAAAAATTTGGGCACCAAGCTTTATGCTGCTGATGATGATAGTCCCCCTTTTCGTGTCCATCCGCCCTCGGTTTGGGTTAACAAAGAACTGCATGCACCGAAGCAAGAAGAGAGACAGCAACTGGCTAGGAAGGCCCTCCAAGCGGGGATCTCGGCATGGCTTACTCAATCCGGAGCATCACGTCCGCAAAGGGCGGGCACGACAGGCCTAGATGCACAACGCGCGAAGGAGAGGAGCCCTGCTGGTAGGTGGAAAAGCCCACAGGGATTCGTGCTATCGAAACAAGTGCGCACTCCCCGGGGATCTCATCAATCTGGAACTGTCCGGGAGGAGAGAGCAGTTACAGGGAGAGCGGGGAGGCAGCCGCGCCCGATGCAGTCCGCCGAGAGCAGCGTGTCCGGGCGGAGGAGGATGGGAGCGTTCAGACGCGGAAGGAAGCGTCCGGCTGACATGGTACCTGCGCGGTCGTCACCAACCCGTAGGCTTCGCCTGTTGCTCCCGGAATCAGATGATGAGAATGAGTCGTAGGAGATGCTTATTCGCAGGGACCAATGTCGGGACAAGGGTTCTCAAGGCAAGAAAATGGGGACGAAAGTCCCGACCCCTCTAGTGAAGAAAACTGAGATGGAAGCAACAACCAACCATGCTACGCTTGTGCCAAAACCTCGTCGCCTCCGCAAGATGCCGATGACTGGTACAACTGATCAGGATGTCGCCCTGGAGTCCACAGGTCGACCTCTTACCTACAAAGATAAAGGTAAAATGAATATGGTAGAGTCGAATTCGGAGGAATGGAAACCGCCCTTCAATGCTAGGGGTACGAACCCTTCTCATTAGGGTACTGGGTGGCGCTAGGTGGCTAGGTCCAAGAGGTGTTCGGTTGCGGCGAGTCGGGTCCGGAAGGTGGTGCTCGTCTGGGAAACGGGTAAGGAGCTTCCTGTCGAAGAGAATGTCTCCCCGGGACGCCCATATTCTATTGGGGGACACTACCCGCTGAAAGAATATGGTTCGAATGATGCTGTCCTAGGGATAGGGAAGAGGAAGAGAGATCGTGATGCTGAGGATGGAGATCTCGATGGGGATCCTAGTCCAAAAAAATAGTTTGTTGAAGATAATAAGTGGAAGCTGAACAGGTGGAGGAAGCCAGCCGGAAATGGCCCCTAGAGGATAAATGAAACTACTGGCCTAAAATGTGAGAGGAATTGGACCCTCCCTCACATTCCAAACTGCAGTAGGTTTAGTTCGGTCAAATAAACCAGAACTTGTCTTTTTTTTTCGGACACAATGTCTAGCCGGCAAGTCGTGTCCCGTCATATGCGGGGTTTAGGTTTTCATTCTACTTTTTTGTTTTTTTGTGGATGCAGTCGCTTGGTCCCCTGAAGTAGATGCTTCATTGTTTTCTCATTCAAATTTTTACATTTGTACAAGGATTAATGAAGGGAAATTTTCCTATGTGATGATTGGTATTTACTTAAGTTGGAATGCAACAATTCGTGCTCGGCGGCTGGAAGAACTCCACACTATTTGTGATGCTATCCAGCTTCCTTTTGTGTTCATTGGCGATTTTAATACCACGTTACACACGGGTGAGAAGGATGGGGGAAATCCTTGGCAGGCTAATCAATCGGTAGCTCTGCATGATTTCATCTAGACTCTAGACCTCTATGATCCTGGTTATCAGGGTGATCAATTCACCTGGACTA